ATTTTCCATGTTCCTTCCGGCCTCGATGTGACGAGACACCCCGAGAAAAGACGAGGCGCCCAGTTTTGGCGCCGGCTACGCGAAACGAAATCCATCGGAGCAAGCGCCAGCCGCTAGCGCCAGTGAGGCCGACAGTTCGGGAGAGCTGCAGTGGCGAGCTTTGTACGAGGAGCCACGCGGCGAAAGGACGGTTGTGAAGCCGAAGACGGGAATGCGGTTCTCCCAATTCGGGTTGGAGGGTACCCCCTTTGTTTGTGTGGTTGTTCAAAGGAAGCCAACAGGAGAAACACAATCTTTGGGGCATTGGGGTGTGTCTTTTTTGGGAGGGTACCTTGTTTTTGCAAAGAAAGCCCACAGGAAAGGTCCCCTACAAAAAGACACGCATTTGGGGAGACGGTTTCCCAGTTTTCTCAACTAGTTTGGATTGGTGGTTTGACTTTCAACCCTTGGTTCTTGCAGAGAATAAATGGGAAACCAACTCCAACCAGAAGCCTAGAGAGAACATGATTTTGACTTTCCCTTTGGTTTCCCTTGGATTTCCAACCAATGTCCTCCCGAACGACAAAACCACAATAACGGTACCAACTCAATAGAGGAACCAACTGGAAAAGTGCTGTCGGCCAGACCAGCACTCGGATTTTTTTTGCGTTGTGGTCTTGTACACTTCAGCCAATGACCTGCGGTTTCAGAACCGAAGACGAGGCGAAGATTGGTCACATGGGTCAAGATGAGTCACCACCAGGATCTGAACCGCAGGTTAAATCGTCCACGTTTCCGCTTACCAGACCAACAGTTTGGGGTCCAGACAAACCAGTTTTGGGGTTACCTACTATTTTTGACCCACAGCCACACGGATTCATGACCTTGTCTTAGGAGGTTCCAAAACCAGGTGCGCCACGCCACAAAGCCAGGGACTGCACATTTGGTTTCACCTTGTAATCCAAACATGGATCCTCTAGTGTGCCATGGTTAATTCATCGGGAGCAGGAGGGGATGGCGCATTTTGGAGGGTATTCACTTTTGGAGGACACAAGCCTATCAATCTGCAGGGTTTCTTGATCTGTGGTGGACAGCCGAGAAGGAGAAAAGTAGCACAGAGGGCATACATGCGTCCGAGCACAGGTCCCCTAAGAAAGGACACGCCCTCATAGCAAAACGGCTTGGCGCCGGGCTCTTGGGGGGTGGCGACCCCAAAACGATGGTTTCCCTTTTGGTTTCCCTTTCTAAATGGGGCACCTCCAGAATTCTTGAAACTAACAACTCCGACTTGTGTAAAACCAACCAGAAAGAGTAACAACCCCCAAAAGGAGACGAGCCACCCATGTGCCCATTATGCGCCGGATTCGACGCGTAAAGCCTTCATGTTTCTTCAAGGCCTAAAAGCGAGGTTCTCAACGGGCGGCATACAATGCGAAAGGAAACGGCCATCGTCCTGATTCTTCACCAGGGATTTTGGGTAGACCCTTGTATTAGGTTTGATTGCAAGACTTGACCACCCGCAATGGTTTTGGGTAGACCACATGGATGGGCTTTGACTGACTTCAGGCGAGACATGACCCTACGTGGCAAGCTTGTCCCGGTGAAGTACCCTGCTTTGCCGGACAACTCCACTCCCTTTTCAATATGGCAAGGACAATGGCGGGCGTTCTTTGAATAATGGCACACACATACATACATACATGCATGCATGCATGCATGCATGCATGCATGCATGCATGCATACATACATACATACATACGTACGTACATACATACATACATACGTACATAGATAGATAGATAGATAGATAGATAGATAGATAGATAGATAGATAGATAGATAGATAGATAGATAGATAGATAGATAGATAGATAGACACATACGTACATACATACATGGCTCATACAGGATTTGTTTTTTATACCCTTCGTTTTTTGTGTTACCCCCCTACCTCTCCCCGCCCACCCCCAAACGCAGGGAGATGTGCAACTCCCACGGGGTCGCCAGTGGGGAGCTGCAGCCCAGGTTCCGCGCGGCTTTCTCGGGCTCGCCGCTGGGCGTGGGCGCGGAGGCGGCGGTGGGCGGCGCGGAGGCGGCGGTGCGGCAACTGCGGCGGAGGGCCATGCTGAGCCTCGGCGAAATGGATCGGCGAAATGGTGTCCTTTTGATCGGTGAGCCTGGTAAAAAATAGACTTTGGTTCCACTGGTTCAGAGGGGTTTGGTTTCATTTACCAGGGAAACCCAGCTATTTTTCAAAAAGGCCACCTATGGACATGGCATGTAGTGAAGCCAAAGGAAACCAAACCTATGTTTCGCCAACTAAAAAGTTGAAACATCCATTTAGGAAACATCCATTTAGCTTCGGAGTAAAATGAGCTTCAATATTCAGATCTCCAATTGGGTGAAGCCAAAGGAAACAAGGGTCACACATGTCAAAGGAAACCAAAGGTCAAGTGTGAATGACTTGAACGTATTCGTGCGATAAGGTCAACGTCACACACCAAGTGGGTCTGTTTTTGTCTTGTGGGTGCCCCCTTTTGCTGGTGTTGTAAAGGGACACCAGACGGTGAAACTAATCATTTGGAGGGGTCCAGCCTTGAAAGACACACCTATCCGACAGCCGGCGGTCTTAGAGGTGTACAAAGTGCGAGGAGTTCCAACATATGGGCGTGGGTCCAAAAATAGGGTAACCCCAAAATGGGTTGCCCCGATAAATGGAAACTTGGACGATTCATCCTGCGGTCCCTTGATGGTTTGATTTTGACACATACCCAAATGGGTTTGCCTCAAAATAGAGGAACTTTTGGCTTCCTTTTTTTAAACACCCCAAAAAGGGTACCATCAAAGACGCACCCCAATAGTCGGGAAACCAAAAGGAAAGTAACCACGTGGGGTCCCTTTTCAGACACATCCAAATGACTTTTTATTTGAGAAACCCATCCTTGAAAGTGTAAATCCCTACTTTGACACATACCTGGGTATGTCTTTGTTTGAGGTTACTTCTTGCGGCCGGTTCAAATATGCTTTTACCATTTTTTGGGTGGAGTCGGATTTACGACATGTCTCACAAAAAATGTTTGTGTTTAGGACAAAAACGAGACACTAAGGAAAGAGCGTCAGGAGCAGAGGAGGAGGCCGGGTATACTGAGTATACTGATTCATAGCCAGTTGGCTCTGAAAAGGTCTTAGATGGGAGTTTCTCGAGATTAGGGACCTTTTAGGGGGCCGATTTCCCTTCGGGTTCCACTCGAATCCATCAAACAACAAACGCCTGCTTTAAGAAGCACTCAGATGGTTTCCGATATATCTTTAGCCTTATTTCCTTCAGGCTGGGTGCGTCACGAGTGAGATCACGTCATGCGTCCTTTCGCTGTGTCGAAGCCACGTAGCCTTGGTCGAAGAGTGCCACTCTTCGCGAGCGGTCTCGAAAACCTCGAACAGGGTTTCCACTGCCCCTAAACCCCTGCCCCCACGGGTTTGATGGACTATGCCACTAAATGGCCACTAAAGGGTGGCGAGCAAATGAGGTTATTTTGTGAAACACTCCCTGAAAATACTCCCAGTTTCAGGGGACGGATTGATGGCCGCCCGTCGGACTTAGGTCTAAGGTCATGATGTTGTTCGTCTCGCTACCGTCACAGTGGGAACCCACTTAGCATGGTTAAGTCTCCCAAGTGGGATATAACTAGGCTTACTAACCACTGCCCTTTAGGTAACTTGCTCCCAAGAACGTCACCTTGTTGCCACTATGAGTTGCTGCAATTGGCTCGTGCGAGTTGGCTCTAAACCAGTACCAGCCACCCCTCCTCACCCCACCCCACTGCCCCCACCCCACACCCACCCCACACCCACCCCACACCCACCCCACACCCACCCCACACCCACCCCACACCCACCCCACACCCACCCCACACCCACCCCACACCCACCCCACACCCAGCCCTACCTCACCCACCCTTTTTGTCACCTTCTTTTTGGCCCGAAGCCACCCGCTAGTCCGCCAGGGCCTTTGCGAAGCCCGCGCTGGGCTTCGCGCACTTCCCGCCCAGCCTGCTTCGGGTGGATCTGTGACCCGAAACGCGTCCGGGTGGGCTCACTCCTTTGATTTCGGATCGAAGAAGAACCCCTTAAAAAGTAGATGGGGGGAGGGCCGCCCCCTCCAAAAGTGATGATGCTCAAACCCAGGGATAGCCCCCTATTCATAAACTGGGGTTGATGCATCCGTTGCCCGAATAGCCATGTATTTCCGACCAAAGCTTTGGTCCCCGATGAAGATTCACATGAGCTCTGCCAATGAGGCGGGCTTTGCATAGCAAAACCATGGCACCTGAAGCACTCGTTGAATTCATTGCATCTCCTTGGTCCAGCGACCGTCGCCAGCGACTTGCAGCGACCGTCATCGAAAATACAGCGCTAGCTGTTGTTTTTGTTTGCTTCAGAGGGGGAGAGGAGCAATCGGGGTGCGGTCAAACTCTCCACAGAGTGTGGTGCATTTGAATGCCATAAAAACAATCTCCAGTCCATGGTTCATATATATATATATATATATTCAAACAAAAAAAACAACCACAAAAAAAAACAACCCCCAAAAGAAAACACGCGTGGATCAACCGCCTCGAGTGGAAAAACCAAATCCGACGTTTGACCGTGGCTCCTTTCTCGGCTTCCGCTGAATTGGCCGGGGGAGCCGAGTGAGTGCCGAGTCCAGCGGCCTGGGAGCGGGCAGGCGCGCCACCGGGCGGAGGCAAAAAAAAGATCGAGGCAGGAGCCAAACCAAAAAGCTTTGGCAAAGCAGCGCGTTCTCTTTTTATCTTCTCTTTTTCATCTTCCTCTTCCTCCTCCTTTCTCCTTCTTGCTTCTTCTTCTTCTTGCTCCTTCTTCTTCTTGTTCTGCCTTTTCCTACTTCGCTTCCTCCTTTTCCTCGAGCTCGGGCAAGATCTCAACGTTTCACTTCCGTCCGGAGATTGCGATCTTCTGCACCGCGAGGTTCGCTAGGCCCGTTCACATTCATGTGACCGAG